TTTTAAACTGCAGTATCTATACTTCTACATAAGTAACAAATGTGTGTACTTTTGACACCACTGGTGGCAATACAACCTTGATCAGTGGTATTGAAATATTCATTAAGTGTCTGCCAGCATATAGCACTATATTCTTCTTATGTGTCAGCTGCAAACTGGAAAGGTTTACTCTTGTAAGAAGCGGGGAGGTGGCGCCACCTGCTGGTTCTTGTGGATAAAGATCAGATTGAGTGCATAATAACTCACTCCTAAGCAAATGGGGTGAGGCAGAGGTCATCCCATCACATCTGTATTTATTTTACCTAAAATGTGAAAGTGTTTTGTTAAGCTATGCCCAATTGGAAATCTTAACAAATTACGTCTTCCCAAACTGGGTTTTTATCAATGTCCTTAGGAATGAGTTAGGTGGTTGTCTAAAAATCTCTGGGGATCTCATCTGCCCATGTTGAGAGGGCACTGCCATCCCTGTATCCTTTTACTCTGGGGTGTCTTCAGATTTCTGGGGCACCAGTCTCCTATTCATCAGTCTGGACTATTTGGGGTGGGTCTGGGACTCTTCACACCAGCTATTAAGCATAAATTCCTGCTAAAGAAGCTTTATAAAACTTCTATATACAAGAGCAGTTGCATATACAGTAAATTCTTATCCCCTCTCACTTTCTATCCTCCCATTCTGTCTTCTCCCCCATTGCATGTTTTTTTTTTTTTTTTATTCTTGCCAAAGCGATTCTTCTTTTAATGTTACAATTACCAAGTAGACCTTATGGTCTACTTGTGAAAGCAAACTTTTTGTGACATAAATCTTCAGTTCTATACTGGCAAACAGGACACGGGAAAAAGAAAAAAAAAGCAATGTGATAATCTCAACTGAAGCTTGTCCCAGTTTAACAGGAAAATTACTTCAAATAACTCAGAAAATTGGTGTTAAATAAATAAATCTAAGTTCATTTTGTAAAATGATTGAAGAATTTTGTTGAGATTTAAAGCAAACTGTTGACAACAATCCAAAAAAAGTGTAGAAAAAAAATGTAAACCGTTGTAAAGAAACATTGGAAGAGCGGGCAACTCTCTGCTAAACTAACATGAGGAGAAGAAAATCTGGCGGGTGTTACTTCCTTATACAGAAACAACCATCGTACAAGCAGTGGCAAGAAATACCCCAACAAATACTCCTCTCACATCACCTACAGCTCACTGTCTATTGTTCTTTGCTTGAACTACGTTCAATAAAACTTATTCTTGCTGAATCAGCAAATAATACAATGAAAAAAAAAACTATTGACAGTCAGAGATTAACTGGTGTTAAAGATGAACAAGAAGTAATAAAAACGGGAGACATTTTTTTCAGTTACTATTTAAACCTCACAAACAGCAGTTTTTTTTTTTTCCAAAGAGAAAATATTGACTTACCATTCATTGTGAGAGAGAAGCTGACTGAAGGACCGGCAAGGTTGAGTGTGTTCGAGATGGTTTCCTCTATTTCTTTGACTGGCAAAGGTTTTACTTCCTGATTTGTTGCATCATAGTGAGGCAGTTCTAACCATTACTATTCAGTAGTAAATCTATCATAAACATGAAACTAAGCACTAAAACTGAATGTGAACAGAGGTTTCAATGCAGCTGTTTGATTTTTATCCAGTTATTCCTATGAGTTTCTCTTGGGTTTTTTTCAATTTAGTCCATTTCAATAAAAAAAAAAAACATTAAGGGAGATTAAATGTTGCAGTAACATACGTCATTTTTTTTTAAACCGATGTTGGTTTTGATAGCTATAGACAGGAAGGAGCTTCTGTAGCGGTCTGTTTTGCACCGGATCTGGAGAAGCCTCTGACTGAAGACACTGTTATTCAAAAGTCTTCTGAAAAGGATGCTCACCGTTGTTCATAATTTTCTTCACTTTATGAAGAATTCTTTTCTTTGTGAAAATATCTCCAGAGGTTCTAGAGGAGTTCCTAGAACAGAACCAGCCTTTTTAATTAGCTTGTTGAGCATTTTTGAGTCATTAGCTCTAATGCTGTTATTACAGCAGATGATGGTAGAAGATATGACACTCTCCACAATAGACTTAAAGAAGATATACAGCATCTTGCTGCAAAGACTGAAGAACCTAAGCTTCCTTGTAGTTTATTATTTACTGATAACCTGGATTGACTTAAAACGCTTATAGTGGAACCTACCTGTTACTGGATTAAACTACTGTACTCTCAATTATGACTGGTTTAAAATGTATGTTTATGATGACATTATGCATCAGAAATTATATGAAAGAAGCTGGCCTCTTTTATATCATATAAGAATTTACACACAAATTAATTTTTTTCAAAAAGACATTGTTTTTTTTTTCTTTACCTTGGAATTTTTAAGTTTATACTGGAACCACTAAACAGGAAGTCGCTTATGTTTCTGCAGCCCCAGCCCTGCAATAAAACCTCAACCACAAAATAATGAAAGCATACGCCTTTAAATTTCATCGCATTACTCAAGTTGAAACTTTATTACTCAGACAGCGTCATCTCAAATATTTAAATACAAAAAGCAGTATAAAAGCCGACAGCCAAATACTGTATTTTTGGTTATAAGTGTCCAAATACTGTTGGTTCTCCATCGTGTTCCAGTGTGTGGACCCAATTTTTCACCCCTTTTTGTTGCACAGTTGAAAAAAAATAAATATTTTTTCCCTTTATTCATATACTTGTTTTAGACATTCAAAACAAGCCACTTCACATTAAGCAGCACATACTGTAAGGCAGCAATGTGATTATGCAAACATAGACATATACCACACATACACACATTTAGGTGTTTAGGACTATCTCTGTGTCGTCTAAACTTACAAAAAAAGAGCTCTGTCCCTTCTGTCAGCCTCATCTGTTCAGAGTATTCTTCGTCTCCCTGCATCTCAGCCGCTGACAAACACCAGTCTGGCGCTGTAAGCCAGATCAGCGATGTACAGCAGGAAGTTAAGAGCGGTGAGCACAGACACGGCGATCAATTTGGCCTTATCTCCTCCTCTTGAGTAGTTCCTGTCGAAATGGAACACGGGCCAGAGGATGGTGGCCGTCAGGTACATGACAGTGGCCAAAAGTCCGTAGACTGACAGGAACTTGGAGAAGGGGATAGGGAGGCAGCCGGTGCACTCTCCCACACACAGCACCACCACAGCCATGGACAGGATGAAGCAGATGCAGTAAACCGCCATGCACCATTTTAGGGCTGCGTGATGGTCATATGACACTGGATTGCTCACCAGGATGAAGATAATGCAGGCCACAAAGGTTTGGCACACCTTCATCAGACCTGGAGCTGTAGCCATGTAACCCGCCACCTCTCCTGGCCTGGCCTTGGACAGGCTCACCTCCACCATGTAGGCAACTGTTGCCAGACAGGAGAAGACGGTGGCGGCGATCCGATGGTCACGTTGCTCACCGTAGGAATTCTGGCCTTTGATAAAATACAATGGGAAGATGATTGAAGCTGAGAGGCAGAGGAGGGAGGCGTAGCAGGCAACTGTGATGGGGAAGTTGGACCAGGACACTGGGATTCTGGGTTGGAGGCTGCACTGCTCGACCAGCAGGACCAGCACAGAGCAGGCGAAGCTGAATGCCCAGCAGAAGATGCACCAGTCCGCCATGCCTGCTTGGTGCAGCCCGCCGCCATGTGCCGTGACACTGAACGCGGTGCAGGTGAACAGCACGGCGGCAACACGCACCCATAGCAGCTGGGAGGTGGGGAACCAGGTCAGTGGCATGATGGGATGTCACCTGGGAAGTTAAAGGGACGTCTTCGATGACAATGAGTCTTGAGCCTGATCCTGTGCTGAGATCTTGTCAGGTAGTTTCCCTCTGTTGGCGTCACGATCTGTACATCCAGAAGAGAACAAACTGTTTGTTTAATGGCATTTTTAAAGAGGCATTGCAGTTTTTTTTTTTTTATGATGCTGCCACCTGTGGCCAAAACACAGAACTGCAACATTTTTCTATTCGTTCTCGTACTCGTATATATATATATATATATATCTTATATATCGTTTATTCATAATGCACCTAATGCACCTTTTTCCCTCCTTGTTTGCACCTTCTTTAACTTCTATGCCAATATGTGAAGAGTGAATTTCTCCACTGTTAGATCAATAAAACTCATCTAATCTAATCTAATCTAATCTACTCACATCTGGACTCCAGTTATGTGGAGTGGTCATTGGTATCAGGGTTAAGGTGAATATTAATCGCTTCTGAGTATCTACATCTATATAAATCATCTTGAATTTAACGCTTCCATTGTTTGCTAGGTCAGACCCATTTAACATGGACGGACCCAAAGTACATTAAGGAAAATAGGCTTATAGACGCATTTGCACTGAACTAATGAGGTGTCAGTGTTCTCATCAAATTATGTTTTAGTCACAAAGGGTCAAATGAAAAGGCTATTTCAAAGATATTTTTCTGCAAAAAAGCACATAATGTCTATTTTGATTCTTAAAATCTACTTCTAGAGCAAACAATTTTAATGCTTTTAGAAAGCTTTCAAGTCTACAGTGCTGAGGTCTTTTTTAGATTTCACTTAGATTTTTTCTTGATGGATTTCAGTAGCAAATATGGGACAAAG